TTCTTTTTTGGTGAGGAAGATAAGTCAGTATTGATAAAACACTGATAGGGGTCAGGTACCTAGAAATAATCCCTTTTGGATGTATTTCTGTTTATTATTGTTAGTAATGGGGATGTTTGTTTTATGTAGGATGGTAGAGATGGTAATAATGATATCTTACATTTGTGTAGCATTTTTTTGTATATGGTATTTCTCTGGACCCTTGGAATAGTCACTTAAGACAGGAAAAAATAATCCACATTACATGATAACCAATGACTCCAGCTTTTTTAAGCATTACAGAAGTTAAATTAGTCTATTTCTGTACTTTTTTCCCCTAAAATTCTTAAGAAATCAAGCCACAAAGCTTAAGAGCAGCTTTTCCTTTTTACATATTTTCTTGAAAGTTGACACATTGATTTTTTTAAACAATGACAATTTTATTTTTAGATCCTAGACGTTTTGTTCTGTAGTTTGAACTAGAGACCTTCAGTTCTCAAACTTCTATTTTGCAGATTTTCAAAATTTATTTTGCAGACAGTTGAGGCTCAGAGAGTTTGGGCAGCTCGTGTCAGTTCACGGGACTGGAACAGAAGCAAGGCTAAACTCCTAATTCTTTTCCCCCCAAAACATGTTTTCTCTTTTCCTAATAACTTGGTTTTGCTTAGCATAATCATCTTCTTCTGTAAACATGCCAAATTTGATCTTTATTGTTGCGTACATATGATGGTGGAGGAGGACACTTTGTTGCGAAAAGTTTCCCTGATTCAGATGGTTTGGTTCAGTCTGGCAAAGCGAGTCGTGAAATTGCTTTCCTGTGAAATAAGTGTTCAGATTCACACCCCATCATCATGAACCATCCTGGAGTGAGAAAGACAAAGGAAGTGGATCTGGATTGAAATGTGACTCTGGCAGGAGTCCCGATCGTGTGCCATGTTCCACTGTCCCTCCTTGCGTGCGGAGGATGTCCGATCTGTACAATGAAGTCGTCTGTTTTGAGAGATGAAGCCGCTGGCTGAGGGTTGGGAGCTGCATAATACGTTTCTACCAGTGTGATCTCTCGTGGCCATGTTTAGGCTCTTAGAGTGAGTCTGCTTTCTGGGCACACTGGAGACACAGAGGAGGACAGAGATTTAGATGCACTGATGTGTGTGAAGTTCACGAGCTCAGCTCTCTAGCCTTGTTTTTTTAGTCAAGGTATAATTGACAGATAATGTTATATTGGTTTCTGTTGTCGAACATGATGATTTGGTATTTGCATACATTCAAGATGATCAGCACAAAAAGTCTAGTTACCACCCATCACCAGACAGAGCTAACTTTCAGGATTTATTATCTTGGCATCTTTCGAGTACATGCTACAATGTTGTTGACTGTAACATTGACCATGCTGTACATTACATTCCTGAGTATGTGCTACAGTGTTACTGACTATAGTCACCATGCTATACATTATATTCCCATGATTTATATTTTATAACTGAAAGTTTATACCTTTTGATCCCTTTCACCTGTTCCACCCACTCCCCACCTCCCTTCCCCTCTGGCAACCACCATTCTGTTCTCAGTATCTATGTTGTTTTGTTTGCTCATTTGTTGTTTTTTAGATTCCACTGATGAGTGAAATCCTATGGTATTTATTCTTCTCTGACTCTTTTCACTTAGAATAATTCCCTCAAGGTCCATGTTGTTGCAAATGGCAAGATTTCATTTTTAATGGCCAAGTAATATTCCATTATATATGTGCACACCACATCTTTATCCATTCGTCCATGGGTGGACACTCTTCTGCCTTGTTTTTAAGTAGCCCTTGGCCTTATAAATTCAAGCTCATGGCTTGGGATGAGACTAAGTGAATTCTTACAGTGTCTATATGTACATAGAAAATTAAGTATTAGCAGTCATTTCATTAAGTTGATTATCTGCATGCATGTGTCTCATGAATATATATCATAGACATGTTTCTGAAAACATCCTTGGAAATTGATTCATCTCTGAAATATAATTGAATACTTGAGGGGGTTATCATTTAATGGTATTTACTGAGTAGAAAGTAAATATTTAATGGGAGGAATAATCTCTTTGTAACTTATTTGGATATTTATGGATTTTCAAAATCAGTATTATTTAAAATGTGTTATGATATGGTTTTTTTTTAGAAAAATGAAGTATTTTTTAAGCTTTCTACTTACTTACATATTTATCTTATGACACTGAAGAATCAGCTGATCTTCCTTGGGAATTAGGAAATCAAAATAAAAATGTCATTTGTGAAGATGGGGACACTTGGTTAAAAGTAATTTGACTCAGTTTGTTTTGCTGGCCATTTTATAGGTACTGTTGACACTAGCTGTTACTTAGAGGTCTTGAGCCTGAGTTTAATACTTGTGTTATTTATAGTTAATGATGTGTAGATAATTAAACGTTAAATTCATTGAATATTAAAAAGTTCTGTGACTTATTCCAAAACACAGGGTAATAAGAGCTGGTGAATTTGATATGAAACACTTAAGGGAATTTTTTCTTCACTAATCAAAAAGTATTTCCTGACCATAAAAGATAGCAGAAAATATAGTCAGTTAAAATGATAAAGTTTAGTGGTATTTTTAGAATTGGAAGACTTAACCATCAAAGACTTGCTTTCAGTTTTTGTTAGGCCCTTTCCTGCTGGTTCTTTTGTAGTCAGAGCGTTTTGATCATATTTTGGACACTGACTTCGTGCTGTCTATTTACTTGACATTTTGCAAGGGCAGAGAAGTTTGACTCATACGTATAAACCTTCCGAGTGTGCCGTGCAGACAGGAAGCAGCTAGGGCTGTTAGCGGAGGGAGGGACCCCTAAATTAGGAAGCCCACCGAAGTGTGGGTCCTTGCTGCCTGCCGTGAAAGACTGCACGCAGCAGAGGCAGAGGGGCGAAGTGAACAGCTGCGTGTTGCTCAGACGCGGAAATGGACGGAAAGCGCTGGAGGGAGGAAGGGGCGCTCCAGCGGGGAGCCGTCCGCCCAGATGCGCAGCAGGGGCGGCTCCGGCCCAGGTCGGGCCGCGTGGGCTTCTATGGGAGGCTTGCACCTTCAGGTTCCTGCTCCTGGTGTGTGACGGAGCCAGTCACTCCTTGCGTGGGCTTTTCCGGCTGTTGTCACGGCAACCGTCACCTGTCATGGTGCTGGTGGGCGCGTCGTTCAGCAGCTGATACGTTACAGGGAGCGTATAATGAGGCTGAAGGTCCCCTGGACGGCAGATCCTCTGCCATCTTGGCCTCCGTTCTAACCAGTTCTGGCTTCTTCTCAGCAGCTGTCTCCTGAGACTTAGATAAGAGTAATTGGTTTCTAGTCGAGGGAGGGGCTGGGGGATGATCCTGGGGGCAACAGCCTTGGTAATAAAAAAAAGTTATTTTTAATCAGAATGCCTACAATCTGGTGGACCCAGCATCCCCCTCAAAACAAAGAAAAAATAAATCTCCAAAGATTCTGTTCAGCCGTGAAGGTTCTAAAGAGAAACGGAGGAGTGGTCTCAGCTCATCGTTGAGTAGGAGGTCAGAGTTGTCGCCATCCCCCAGGGCCTGCAGGCTTGTCCTCGTCAACGGCTTGAGCCTGCTCTTCTGTGACTCAAGGCGGCCTGGAGACGTCAGCTTTTCTATAACCAAGAGGCAGAGGTTGGGTGGAGGGGGGCGCCGACAGGGTCCTGTTTCCTTTCGGGGCTGTGCCCGTGTGATGCAGGTGGGATTCTGGTCTCTGCTCTTTCTAGACCACTTCTGAGAGCAGCACAGAGTAATGCAGCCCAGAATCACTCCAAGGGGAGAAGGTGGAAACGGGCCAGCCCATGGGGGGAAGGCCGTCCTGCCAGGCTGCTCCGACAGCTGTCTGTCTGGCAGAACCCTCACGGTGGGCTGAGTGTTCGCAGGAGGTATCCCCGTGTGGCAGGCGGAGCGGAGCTTTGGGGAAATCTTTGGTGATTGGAGCTCTAAACTCGCAAGGTTAAAATAAACCAGGCCTGTGGAACGGAGGGAGGGGCTGTTATTACAGGTTGAGTGTTAACTTTGTGCTGTTGTCAACGTGGTTGTGAAAACCCTCCAACACAGAACATTTATGTTGTGCAGAGGAACTTTAGACAGAGTTCTTACAACCTCACATACATGAATGTAAAAAAAAAATCTTAATTTTGAAATAATCATAGATGCAACAGAATTTTTAAAAAATAGTGTATGAAGTCATGTACCATTTGCCCAGCTTGCATCTGTGGATTTTTAAGGTGTGGAGTGTGTACCTGTGGCATCCTGGATCTTGGGGCCCAGAGAGAAGGAAGACCAGCAGGGCGTGGGGGTAAAAACTCACCCCTCTTGCTCAGTGGCGCTGGTTACTGTCTAAGGAATCATGATTAAGGCCAAGGCATTGCTTATGTTTTAAAAATCGTAACTCCAGGTCATTGTCCAGGCTTTTATTTATTCTGATGTGTTAAAAAAAAGTAATAATTCTACTTGTCTTTATGTATGACTCCTCTGATATTGACTTTATTTAGTTTTTAATTTTTATTTTTTAAGTAGTAGGAGAATAAAATATTTTTTTTTCTTTAAATCTTTTCTCTTTTTTTCATCTGTGTTGTGTAGGTTTCTGTATGTAAATCCTGTACAAGCTTTTTTGTTTTTTGTTTTTTTTTTGGACGTTTTAGAAAAACTGAAGTATATAGTCAGTTACAATGTGTCAATTTCTGGTGTACAGCATCATGTCTCAGTCATGCATGTATATATATAGATTCCTTTTCATATTCTTTTTCATTCTAGGTTACTATAAGATATTGAATATAGTTCTCTGTGCTGTACAGAAGAATTTTGCTTTTTTCTCTATTTTATATAAAGTAAATATTTGCAAATCTCGAACTCCCAGTTTATCCTGAAAGTGTTTTTAAAATCACTGGGTGAATGATCCCACAAAGAATGTTTTCTCCTCGTCCTCTTTCTTGTTTGAGTGTTAAGAATGATCCTGGGTTCTAGGACCAAACGTTTTAAATTGCTTTTCTCTCTGTAGGTTCGAAAACACGTGAACGACCTCTACGAAGACTTAAGGGACGGACACAATTTGATCTCTCTTTTAGAGGTTCTTTCAGGAGACACCTTGGTAAGTTTTAAAAGTTCTTAGTTTATCTTGAAGAACGTGTCATCCTCTTTGCCCTCCGACTAGTGGGTTTTCAGCACAGACTGTTCAGATTTTTGCAGCATTTGTCTTTTGAGCTGTGAGTTCTGCCTGTGAAAAGAGTTCTGGTTTAGATCCCTAAGCCGCTCCAGACGTCAGATGACGTGAATTTGGGAGATTGAGACACTTTGCTTACCTGGTTATATAATCAGTTCTGTAATTGAAATACTCCTTTTGTTCTGATTTCATTTTTTAACTTTGGATTTTTGGTTTGGTTTTGTTTTGGTTTTGGCTTAGCAGAAGTTGGATGCATACTATAACCACCTATTAAAAGACTCACAAATGGAAACAAACACGGCTTTCTGAGAACACGGTCTAACCCCCTCCACAGGTGCCATCTCGTTCTGCTGTGAACATGACCCCCCCTTCTCGGTTACCTGCCCTTCATTACGTTCTGTTCATGCTCTCCTTTTCATTTGTGGTCTGTCTTGTGTCTCTGCTGTCCTATCTTCTGTCTGTTATATTCATTAGCCAAGGGAGCGAGATTTTTTGAAGACCTTACGATTGGTGAGTGCCACAGAAGCATGCGAATATGAGCAGCATGAGGATGTGGAGGATGAGGATAAGGGGGTAGGTGTCGCCCCCGTAACTCGACTAACCTAGCGGTTACTGTGCGGTGAGCGCTAACGCGATGGAGATTAACCCACGGGTTCCGGCTCCTTTGTGAAAAACTATAGAAAGGACCCAAACCCACAGTGATGTGGATGTGTTTGTGTGTGTGCCAAGAAATTGGACCAAGGAAATATTTTCTCTTTAAAGTTGATTTTTATAGATTACCTGGGCACTGCATGATATTTGAACATATGTGCTTGAATTATATATAGTTTTTAGCTAAGCAATTTTACGAACATTTTCTAGAGGATGGAACTGTTACAATCAGCCGGCTGATTTTTACGCCGGTCTGTTCCACTGCTGGAATTGAGACATCAAACATATCTCTTGCTTTATTGGAAGGAACTTATGGGCATTTATTTAACATTTAAGATTATGTTTTAAATCCTACCTATTGGCAGCAGGTAGTGGATGGACATCCTTTACCTATCTAGTATGCATCGTTTTATTTTTTTGCTGGGGGTGGGGGAGAGATTTTAAATGCTAGCGCCCCCTCCCCAGAACTCCCAGAGCTGTTTAATCCACGTGACATTCGGCTGACACAACCAATCTTCGCGAGACAGGTGTACTGCTTTTGTCATTACGTCCCCAGTGCCCGGATTCCACTGGAATTTGAGCTTTTATGGACGCAGTGGGGAAATTCATCGCCATTGTTTCTTCTGTTATGCGGAACTTGTTTTCCCATTCTTTTCCTGCCGTCTGTTTTATGAGGGCTGCCTTTGGCTTCAGCAGACGATTCATGTTTGAGTAGCTAAGCTGTCAGTTTTCTTTTTTCTCCCCCCACCCCCCTTTGGAAGATCTTATGTGGTAAATTTCAGCTCCATTCTTTGTATTTTTGTTAAACATCTTCTCAGCTCTGTTTCCTTCTGTTTTCCTTTCACTAATGTGTAACATTTCTTAAGGGAAACAGCACCGAGGGAAAGAATGATGGTTTGTCAGTTTTCCTGAGACCACAGATAACCATGCCCATCCCCAAGCAGGGTCAAACCAGTAGAGTCCCCCTGATTTTGTAGAAAAAGCTAAAATGAAATAAAGAGGAAATATATTATATGGCTTTAATTGCTTTTCTCTCTTCCTCTGTCATGGCTAAGTATAAAACTCCACTGTCTTTCTCCTTCTTGGTGATTTTTATACTAACTGCATGCTACTTTATTTCATTTTCATTAACATGCCATACATATATAATTACAAAACACCGTCTCGATAATAGTTGGTTTGTTGAGAAGGCAGAATGGGGGATGGTGTTTAATCCTTTTTGTGTCTCCATAGCTAAATAACTGTAGGCTAGAAACATAGTATAGTGAATATAGAAAGTCTGTATGTAATATGGTATTTTCTCTTCTCCCTGTATTTAAATAAAACATTTGGAATAAATTAGCATCTGTTTAAATATAACCTATTCAGAAACGTCCCCAGTTTAGGTTCAATTTCTGATAATACAAAAAAATTTTTAAATATCTCTAAAAAATTTAGTGGATTTATCTAAACAGAGTAAATGCTCTTTTGGCATATTAAGATGGGCAAACAGTCTATCTATATAGTGATATACTGTGTTATATATAATATATAACGTATACACAGCATAAGTATGCATAGCATGTAGCATGGTCAGTGGCATCAGAAACTATGGTGTGTTTTATACTCTGCATTTTTCTATTCTTAGCCCAGAGAGAAAGGTCGGATGCGCTTTCACAGACTACAGAATGTACAAATTGCACTTGACTATTTGAAACGACGCCAGGTATGACATTTTTCAAAGATTATAATCAAATAAACACACGTGACTGAATAAGTCTGCACAGAACTGTGCCAGGGAATGAAAAGGTTAAACCAGATTGTGAATTATAATCCTTAAGCCTGTGCTTTTGTGAGACAGAGATTTTTAAATGTTTTTTAAACACTTGTTCCAAAGAAGAGGAAGTTAATAGCAAGTGTCAACCCAGAGGAATTATAAGTGGCCCCATTTCCGTCTGAATAAGGGCTGCTGATTTTCTGTCTGTGGAATTGGAATGCTGTTTGCCTAGGACGTTAATGGCATTTTAGTAGCACCGGAATGTTAGGAATGTCTATGAACAGTTCTTAGTGGTGGGGAGGCAGTATTTTTTATACGCAGTTCATTGAATTACCTTATTTTTATAAAAGAGAGTTTCATGCTTTTAAGGAGACTTTGTGTGTGTATTTTCAATACTTAGTAGTGAGGAGGCACTCACTTATTTTGTATAAGTAGCTACCACTGTAATTTAGAAGTGGTTAAAATTGGAGCCATTCTGACAACAGCCTCCAGCTGGCTTGAGGTTTCAGAAGAAATCACGGAGAAGAATGAATACATTGCAATGTACAATGAACTGTACCTTGAATGAACAATGAAAGGTATTAGGCCTGACCTTGATTTGGTAGCACTGTGGCTCATAGTGGTACAAGCCAAATGATTGGTAATTTTCAGTTAGTAGAAAAAAGGAGAGAAGTTCAGGAGAATTCAGAGTTACTGAAAACAGAAACCAGAGGTGGTAACAGTTCTGCTTTTTAATGGAGTAGGAAGGAAAGAAGGGAGGGTGAGGAGGAGGATGAGACAGAATGTTACTAGTGCTTGTTTGTGAACAGCAAAGTGCTTTTAGTTATTACGTTGTAGCAAATACGCAGCACTTATATTTTAAATGTTACTGGTATTTGCCTTACTCTTGTTGATTCTCGTGCAAGTTTCCAGAAGGATTAATGGTTAATTATGTCTCATTGTTGAAATATTTTTGGCAGTGATTTGCCCAGGCAGTAAAATGTTGGGTATCATTGTCTTTAATTCATGGGATTTAATTCATTTCCCAGAAAGTAAATGGTGAATATCATCATTACATTTATGTACCTGAATGCATAATTTAACATTTGATGAGCTTTAAGTGCAATTGTTATATTATTTTTAAAGCTTTGAACAGTCTTCCAAAAATCCAGGGGCTTATCTTGGTAACAATTGATGGTAGGCAAAATGAATAATAATACTAGGATTTTTTTTTTTACACTTTTTGTGACAGAAGTGTGAGAAAATAGTTAAAATTATTTGATGATTCAGAATAGTTTCCTACTTAATTGTAAAATAAAAATTATTTTCAAAAGACAATTATTTGTAATTTTAAAATCTTAAATATTTAGGACTTCGCACTTGAGTGGTATTTTTGTTTTGACAAGTGAGTGTACATTTAATACTTGCTGTAGAAGACAGACCAAAATAATACCAATTTTTCCTTTGTGGTTGCTCTGTAATTTACAATCTAAAATGAGTGAAGATAAGGGAGTGAAACAGTATTTTAAGGATTACCGGAATTTAAATTATTTGGGTTTTTACTATGCCATTTAGAATCATTTTTATGTAGATGAAGATAGGTCATGTACTGGTTTTAAAAACAGTCTGTTTTATCTCTTCTTCACATACAAAACAGGTGAAATTAGTGAATATTAGAAATGATGACATAACAGACGGAAATCCCAAATTGACTTTGGGATTAATATGGACAATAATTTTGCACTTTCAGGTAAGCCCACTTTTCTGAATTGTCATTTCTTTTAGCCTCTCGTTGCTTGTTGAAAAGTGGTTTGTATGAAGGGTGAATTATGACTTTGCATCCAGCAGAAGAAAATACATTTCAGGCTTTGTTTCTTAAACAACGTATTTGTATTGTTCCTTTCAA